ACAAAGAATATCAAGTCCAGATGTAATTGAAAAAGATAGATGTAAAAACATGATTATTCAAAACATGATGTATATGTCATGTATTTTTGCTTTTGTAGACATGGATGACTGATTTCAGTGTCCAGAAGCTCATTATCCCAGTGACAACCATGATCCATGTATTCCCAAGTATCTCACTTTCCTCTCCTTTGAAGAACCTTTCGGGAACTCATTGGCCACAATGGCTCTTTTGCTTTCTGTCACCACAATTTTGGTCTTGAACATCATTATGAAGTTCCACGACACACACATCGTTAAAGCCAACAACCGAAATGTCTCCTACAACCTTTCCTCCCTCTTCCTCTCCCCTTGAACAAATTGTCATTTAGGAAGCCATTGCATATTGCATATCCATCCCAAGAAGAAGTAGAAGGAGAAGTCAAAGTAGAATAAGCTGCGGCAGCATGTACCATCTTGTTAATTAATGTATATATATGGTTGTGCAAGATTTCATATTGAATAACCTTTTTCTTCTTAAAATAAATAAAGAAAAGAAAAATGGAATTAGCCACAAAAGAAGAGCATGACCAAATCTACTAATTTTATTCTAAGTTTTCTCCATAATTTCCATCTTCTTTGGGAGGATCAGAATTTCACTTCCACATTCACTTCAGCCTCATTAGGTGGGATGCAGTGCTGAGGATTTGAAAATTACTGAGAGTCTATGTTTTGTTCCTTGCCCCTTACCCTTGGACCTTTCTCTTTCTTCTTTTTTGCTACACCATCCATTTTTAAAACATACAGACAGACAGATAACCCTTTCATTACAGCTTTGGGATATTTAGTCATAAAGTATTTTTTCTAAAGGTCACAACTCCCTGTGAAATACCACAGCTGGGTTTGGACAACATGACTGTCCAACAGTGGTAAAAATCCACCTTGACTTCTTAGAATGCTGGAAACCTATGAGCACGAATGGAAAGTTGGAGTGTCTGACTTTACATGGGTTCTACATATAGTAGGTTTATGGAAACAAGATATAATGTGGAGAGCCAGTGGGATGCACTCCTCTCTGCCTATGAGCACTATGGATTTGAATTGTATAGGAAGGAAACCAAAGGCATATATATTGTAAGAGGTGTTACTCTGGATGGCAGAGTGCTGTGACAGGAAATGTGGCACTCTTATACTAATCCAGTGATAGGAACAGGTAAAATAACTGACTCGGTCAGTGGGTGGACAATGTAAATACCATTTTTGTGCTTTTTGGAGAAGAGTAAAAGTCGGGATCAGTGGGAATAAAATGGCCCAAGAAACCATACAAAGGATTGAATGTGATGCAAGATATTGGACTGGTTAGCATTCTCTTATTGATATGTCACTTCCATGCTTTGGGTGGAGGCACTGCATTCTGCATTTGCAGCACGCAAATGCATGAAAGTAGCTCACAACATAGATGCCAGTGTGGCATAATCTAAGGATGTTGGGTTTTGTATGTGCACCTCATGAACCTTCACTAATACCAACCTTTGTTACCAACCTCTATCAAAATAAACCAGAAAATACATGACTAAATAAGTATTCTTGCGCAACTTTTCAAAAAGAGTCTAATTATGAGTAGGCAACCTTTCCGCCCATAATTATTTCATTAGATGTCATTATCTGCATGGTTT